CAGTAAGAGATGCTCTAGGAATAATCTGGCTCAAATCCCATGTCTCCCCATCCATTTCAAGTAGTAACCAAGGAATCAGAGGAACCGCCCATCAGATTCGCAGTGTTCCAAGCTTTCTTTGGGATCGAACAAGACACGTTAATCTTCTCAGGCACTCCAATATAGTAGATCCCATCTCCCTGAAGGAGGGACAGCACCAGTCAATCGAAAAGCAATCAGAGACTGATCAGACCACAACAACGGACTGATGGTAATGTTTTCCACATTGAGATCATGTTCTAATTGCTTTGATTAAAAAAATCAGATCTAATGTGCAACCTCCAGTGTGTACTACTACCTGTACTCTCGTTTATTTGCATTGTTAATATTTGTTTACTGGTTTGCCTATTTAAACTAATTGTATTGTATAGAATATTGTAATTACTGCGACTACCTGATTTGTATTGCACTGATGAATAATAAATGTCCATAGGTCTGGATCTATGGACATCTAATTCACATCTAGTCAGAATTTCTAAAACTTATGATTACTACATCCGCATGCATGAAATCTGGGAATGCTACCAAAGCTTGTTTACATGATATTTATAGAATTATATGCATATTACTAACAACTAATAATAGGACAAAGCAGTGGAGAATAATGCAATATGATAAATCTAGCAAAATTATACTGGACATTTTAGAAAGGAAAATGTAAAGAGATATATAGACTCATCAAAGTTATGATGTAAACATCAATGTTCAGAAGGAATCTTTTCTTTTAGTCATGACCATGCAAGGGCCCTTAGACCATGCATTTTGTTTTAGAATTCTAAATAGCTTCTTCCTATATGGTTTTTCATAGCCAGTGTAACAATGAAAAGACAATAGCCTGCATGCGCTCGATAGCTCTGCCTTCATAATGAATCGCTTGCTCATGATGCCTCTTGTCAACAATAACAATGAGACTTGCAAACATGATTCCTCTAGGGAAAGAAACTATTCCGAGTCACGTGATTGTCTTAAGCAGGCCCATGACTGTTCACAAACGCACACCATATATTTATACTACCTTCAGGGCTTCTCCCCAGAGAGAAAAGGTAATTTTGTTTGCTCCAGTGGTGCTTCTGGTGAGAGCTGGCACATTTATATTGGAAAGTCTGATGTGTGCTACCTTATTATAATTTTTTATTTGGCCTCTGCAGCTGAGATCTAGTGTGTTATGCTAAAAGCAGCATGTAGTAAAATACTGAAGCGATAATTACTTTGGAAAGAGAGTAACACATAGACAGTTGGAGATTTAATCAGTTCCCTTGTAAACACAATGCTCCATCATTATTCTTATCATCAAACTAATAGATGAAAGTGATATAGTAGTAATCAATTTAAAGAATTCTCCCCTGAGGTGGAAACAAATGCAAAATGCTGTTTTCCATGCTGGTTTTTTTAAATATTTCTTGAAACTATCCATTTAAACAGGACCATTCCTTCCAGAAGGTTGATTGAAATATCAATGAGAGGAAAGGAGACTTTGCTTTAAATTGCCCCTCCTCGCTCCTCTGTAATCTTGCTAAAATCCAACCAATAAAAAAATCTCATTTAGAAGTGAGGATGACTAAAGGCCAGTGAACAAGATTAGGGAGTAGAAAGGACAATACAGGATCAATAACACAGAAGAATTTATAAGCTGCTTAAAAATGGACAATGTGCAGATTTGCAGTTCCTAAAAGTGTGCCTTGTGTCCCATGGTGCTACATAAGCATGTAATGTTGTGAGATATTTTAAATTCAAATCTGATTCCTTAAGTAACAGAACTGTTAGGCATTTATTTTGATTTAGAGGTGCTGTGAAAGAATTACTAAGGCACTAAGAACAGCATTGAACTGAGAACATTTGTGATCCTCTAGCCTAGATCTTCATCGGGGAATTGCGCAGCCAGTGTCCAAATGGAGTCAGAGACAAACCAGTTTTATATAAATAAATATATTTTATATAATAAATATGTTAAATATTCCTAGTTATTCTACAAGGGCCAGCAACAGCCATGCTGCGCCCTGATTGGCTGGGGCGCAGCAGTGGCTGTTGCTAGCCAGATACTTTTCGTTGATTGGCCGAGGTACTGCGTCAGCAGTTGCTGAACAGTACTCGGCCCCTGATTGGTTGTAAAATAGTTACATTGCTAGTATAAATACCTTGGCGCGATCTTCGCCGATTTGAATCGCTGTCAGCTCCTGTTTTCCTTACAATAAACCTGTTATTGTTGAAGTCCTGGCTCTCGCGTCGTTCCTGCCTCGATCCTCAAAATGTTGTAACTTTGAACAGTCACTAAATAAACTGCTGTAAGTTGAGGACTACCTGACCTACATGGCATTGCTTTCTTAGTCCATTCTTCCCATAGAACTGACCCTTCCCTCCTCCCTCCCTCTNGACTAACTGGAGTCTTCGAACACTCTTCAAGGGCAGCCCCATGTAGAGCGCATTACAATAATAACTGTGGGGTCTCCAAGCTTGGGTTTTTTTTCTTGCAGACATTTCATTACCAAACTAAGTAGCAACATCAGTGCAAGAATACCACCAAGCTCAGAGAATAACAAGGACACCGTAGTTCCGCAAATTTGTATCAAAGGTTTATGGCAGTCACTGAGGAAGCTGTCACTTGGATTGTGGAGTGTTTTGTCTCCTCTTTTCAACTTCTGAGTCCAGCTACAGCCCAGAGTTTCTCAGGTTGTTCCCCCATCCAAATCCTAACCACATCCAACCCTGCTTAGCTTCCGAAATCAATCCAAGTCCATTAGGTACTGCCACCTGCTGGATTGCTTCATAACAATGGTACCATTTTCAACAATGTATTTATGTGTCTTTAAATTGCTTTTTAATTATGATTGCTTACAATATTGTTAAAACATATTTAGACTAATTTGCTTCTAAGGTAAACTATTCAGTGATGCTGTTGCCTAGAAAACTTGAATATAAATATTTAAATAGATGAATAAACAACATCTATGAATCATATTTATGGCCAGGGAGCTAAAGGTTGCCCAGATAGATTTATCCTATTTTTCCACCACAGTAGAACCTTAACATTTAGCCACAATTATTTTAATTATTTTGGCTGCTATTTTCGCTGCTGTATTTTTTCCCCCAGCTCCATCAGGTGCCAACTCTTAGCTAACCTTGGATGATCTCCATCTCTCTCCTTGCCCCCTTATACTATTTTCTCCATTTTCACTTATTTAGAGTAATTTAGACTAATGCTAAGCAAGAAAACATCTAATTAAGATATTGGTTCTCCTCGGATATATGTGCTAGTCGTCCCCAACTCTAGGGGGCGGTGCTCATCTTCACTTCAAAGCCAAAGAGCCAGCGCTGTCTGAAGATATCTCCGTGGTCATGTGGTCGGCATGACTCAATGTTACCTTCCCACCAAAGGTGGTCCCTATTTTTCAACTTGCTATTTTTACATGCTTTTGAACTGTTTCCATCCATTACCTTCCCACCAAGTTTCCATCCATTATTCCTTGTTTGACCTTCAGGTGCTTTGGAAAATAGCTTGGCCCTCTCGTCTCTGTAGCAGCCCCTCAAATATTAGAAGACTGCTATCATGTCTCCCCTGGTCCTTCTCTTCACTAGACAAAGGTAAAGGGCCCCCTCGTACATATGTGCTAGTCGTTCCCAACTCTAGGGGGCGGTGCTCATCTCCGTTTCAAAGCTGAAGAGCCAGCGCTGTCCAAAGACTTCTCTGTGGTCATGTGGTTGGCATGACTAAATGCCAAAGGCGCACGGAACGCTGTTACCTTCCCACCAAAGGGGGTTCCTATTTTTCTACTTGCATTTTTACACACTTTTGAACTGCTTGGTTGGCAGGAGCTGGGACAAGTAATAGGAGCTCACTCCATTACGTGGCGCTAGGGATTCGAACCACCAAACTGTCAACCTTTCTGATTGACAAGCTCAGCATCTTAGCCACTGACCCACCATGTCACTAGACTAGGCATGCCCAGTTCCCGCAATCGTTCATCTCTGTTATTCCGAGGTGGTGCAGTGGTTAGAGTGCTGTACTGCAGGCCACTTCAGCTGACTGCAGTTCTGCAGTTCGGCTGTT